ACAGTCGACCTCTTAGTCATTCTTACGAGTACACAAAAAATGTGGACAAGTAATAATCAACAAAGCTTTTAAAGGGACTTTGGTAACATTGTTAAGATGGTGCTAAGGTAGTGACTCCAATGCTAGATGCAAAGTTAAAGATAATCTGAAAGTTTGAGTGAAAACAGATGATGAAAATTGGGGAAAACCGACCTGATCGATGCCTTAATTCTTCCAACTTTATATTATGGTAATTTAATTAAATTTTAGGTGAATGTAAATCGTCACAAAGCAATGAATTGGCTTTATGTACCATTCCACACATGTTAGTACTGACTAATGTTAAAAGCCTGTTTTATGTCCTATATTCATGAAAAATTGATCTGGTAAATTTACAATTAGAGGGCGTCGCACAACTAGTGACGCCTCTAAAGAAAACCCTAAATATCTTTGTGGTTTGAGATTTTTTTCAGGAAATGTTGCATGTTAGAGGGTTAGTACAGTAGAAGAAATAATTAGAGTAAGATTTCATACAAAAATTACTCAGTTTTTCATCGACCTTCAACAATGTTTACCGGTCCCTTTAAACGGTTCTCTCACACATGCACATAAAACATGTATACTAAATTCGGCAACACAAGCTCATTTCAAGATGCAAGTGGGCAATTTGCTTCCTCCGATGCGCTACGCAACAGATCATACCAAAATGAAGAAGGGTTCGCTCCTTATCATACTTTCACTTTTGGTCTTACCTATTTTTAATACACAGGAAAAGCAAATTTCTGATTACTTTAGATGAGAAACCAACCCACTAGACTCACTTTCATAATAGCATAATATTTTTGTGTGTCTGATTACGCACGGCAGTTTTATCTTTTTAATGTTTATGATAGTGAGAAGAATATGACACTAAAACGTGAAACTAAAATAGAGAACCCATTAAGTGGTAAGTATATGTGCCGTGCCACTGTCACTTGTAATTCTTCAACGTTACTACTCCGCCCATTTCGTAAGGTCATAAATATTTGAAAAAGTGTTAACTTGTTGTATACAGGGATGAGAGCAGGCACGTTTTTCTTTTTCTTTTTTAAATTATGAAAATATATTTGGCCGGCATCGCGGCCCACCATACAAAGCTTTAAAGTCAACCAGTGGGTCGGAACGGGACCAAAACCCTGACCATAAGATTTCCAACCAAGAGAAAAGGATACGACCGAATTTTGTACAGTTAGGACAAGCTATTGATACGACGATGAATTAATGGGGAAGTCAGATATGCGTGTGTGTATGTATGTGTGTGTTTATGTGGGTGTGGGTGTATTTACACGTGTGTACCTTAAAGAGCCAGACACCTACTACACCTATTTCTAAATTGTGTGAATGTCAAACAGTTATGGCAGTTTATCATTGAACACTTCGAGATAGTTGAATTAAGGGATATGGAATGGCAAGATTTATTTTTAGGATTGTTGTGTAACTCGAACTGAATTAAGTGTGTGAACACTATCATAATGTTGTTGAAATTAAGAATATTAAAACCAGGAGCAAGAGGTCATTAGCCTTCTTGCATTCATTACGGGCTTTATAGAGGAGGAAAAGAATTTAGCAATCAAGGTAGGCAGGTTGTCGTTACATTTACAAAATTGGGGTAGAATTAGATAAAAACAAGATATTAAATTTTTGGTCATTTATATATATATGCATATATATGTATAATAATAATAATAATCTTTTAAAATCCACTCCAAATTCTATTTAGTAAAAGTAGAACCGAAAATGGAAATTCGTTTTGCCCAATTGATCGTGAGCCCGACAGCCACTGAGCAGCGCCAGATCGACGTTGCTCTATCCCTTATTGTTGAACACAAACCAAGGTAGCAGCAAGTCTTGTCTTTTAACGTCTTTTGGTATGACGCGGCCGGGGTTCGAACCCACGACCTCCCGGTTGTGAGGCGGACGTTCTACTTACTGAGCCAACACACCGGTAATGGTTTATATATTCCAGAAACATGCATCGCAGCCTAGGGGCTGAATTGTACAATATTTAGAAATAAGAATCGTTTTTAGGGGTAGGCTTTTATATAAGGAATCCCTCCTTTCTGCCTATCCCAAATGCTTTAATAAATTGCCATTGTTATCACTTTCTTGTTTTTATATTATTCCATTCTGTATTTGTATGTTTTAAATGTTTTTATGAAGAGTGTTGAATAAACTTTGAATTGAATTGAATTGAATGTAATTACTATTTTCATTGGCTATATTCACCCAATCCTTGATAGACCGCCGGGTGAGCCCCAAAATTCGTCAGTTTTGTGACCTCGGCTCGGCATCTACTTTCTTAATAGTGGATATTATTAAAGAATATATTTTGATATTATTGTCACAACTCGTCAACCGAAAAAAATGCATATAAGCTCAAAACATGGGAAAAAGGTGCCTAAAATCTTTCTTTTTTTCACGAAGGTTGTCCAATCACTGTGCATATATCAAGTACAGGTTACAGCGCTTCAAGCTTTTTAGCCAATCACAGGCAGTGTTGTGCACGTACCACTGGCGCGCGCTATTTCGAACTTCCTGTGTAGTCTGTCGTCAACAACTGAATGTTTCAGAGGAAAACACAGGTTTTGCTGTATGCATACAATTTCGACTCACAGAAAGGTGATATCTTTCAGTGGGAAGAGTTACAGAAAATTCAAGAAGTGTGCAGATTTTTGGGAGAACGTCAGTTTTGGGTTTGAACTAGAAAACCAAATTTTCTGCGATTGCAGGATGCGGTCAACTTCGACTTCGACTCGTTCGAGCCGCAGACAGAGCAGTACTCGCCCGGCGCCTCGGGCGGAGGAGTGTACCAGGGAGGTGTTCGAACAGCAACAAGTTCAACAAAAAAGAGGTAGGCCTAGATCTATGTCATTCCGAAGATAACTATTTCAGCATGTTCAGAATAACTCTAATCCTCCTCTTCTTCTTCTTCTTCTTCTTCTTCTTCTTCTTCGAGATAATCTGCCTCCTTCAGGCTTCAAATAATACTGAAGATTCTTCCACTTATTATATTTATTATTTACACCGGGGTTTCCCCCTACTCTTAGTGACGGTACGAATAGTGCAATGGGTTCTTAACGTGCCTCCATTTAACATACTATCTGAGGGACGGAGTGTTTTCCACTTGACATAACCTGCGTCTAACAAAGGAAGGGGCACGTTAACACACAACGCAGGCTTCAGCCATCCGCCCGGGTGGGAGAGTCGAACCTGGAATCTTTGTCTAGAATCTATGTCATATGTCTATTTTCCGGCCCTAAACGTTACAACTAGAATCAAGAAAAAAGAGAGTCTAGATTAGAATATCTACCGGGTAATTTCTACTATCTAAAAAAATGCTATGCTCTCGAAATTGAGGCCAAGCTGACTTGATCAAAGTGGTTGATCAAGTCAAATTGGATACTGGTCAGGCTTGATTTTATACTACATTAGTACAGATCAGGTCTTCATAATTAATGTGGGTAATGGGTATTTATTGTCCACATATCGTTTACGGTATCGTCTGAGAACAGCGTACTGGTGACTTTTTTTTCGGGGGGGGGGGGGAGAGGGGCCACTGTCCCCCTAAATTTCCACAATCACAGTGGTTTGTTTTTCTTTCTTTTTTTGCATGTTTGAAAAATTCTGCATGGTGAGGCCCACAGTCCCCGTCAATATTTGACACATTTAAATTACTACGCCACTTGTGTTGGAGAATGAGCCTTGCCCTTGGACTGGTGATCTTTTTATTCATGATGAAAAATGTATTACAGTACCGTATGCCCTCCATGCTCTACACACAAAAAAAATCTCTTGAAATGTATATACTTGTCTTTTCCATCAATTTATTTATGTGCAATTCGGTTACTTGTTACTGTGATATCTCTTGAAATATATGCTTGTCTTTTTTCATTAATGTTTTATCTATATGCAATTCAGTTACTTGTAACTGGGATACATGGAAATGAATAAATTAATGAATCATTTAATTTAATAAATGAATCATTTATCTTTCTATCTATCTTGGTCATGGAGGGGATTGCTGAAAAGTGGGCTTGTAGATTGCAGCCCCTTAATGAGGATTAATGCTTTACCAAAGGCTTCGATTTAAATTATCCAGCCATTCTTCTAAAATAAAAGATGATTAACGTTACATCACCTTTGATGCAGATAGCTTCATATTTTTACCAGTTCAAGAAACACTGTTAGACAGCATGGCTTGTTTGTTAAGTAGCTCGTTTTAAAGAGGATTAATATTGGTTTAAATGGCTTTTTATATGAATAATAATAAATCAGAAGAAAATATGGATGTAACTGGGGATAAGTAAAAAAAAAAAAAAAAAATGGAACAAGAATGTCACATATTGGGATGGTGTCGGACCTGATAGTAAATGTATCATATGACATAAAGAAGAAGAAAGCTAAAGATATAAAGGGATGGGGGAAGTTTAAAGAAGACTCTGGTTTGTGGACCTGCCTTTGACCGAACACCCGAGAGAGAGAGAGAGATGAATCGAATTGTAAAGTGTAAACTTAATAAACTGTATGTTGGGTCCATATTAACTGCCTCAAAAAAGTGCCAATTAATACAAATATTGATTTGGACAAGGTAAGAGCCTCGGTGTGCCCATACTATTAATAATCTTTTAATTTGCCCATGTTTTCCTTGCTAGACACGTATTTTTTTTTATTTATTAAGGAACTTAGTTTTGAATTTTAACGGACTCACATTCTTTCTATAATATATTCCACTTCCTCTCTTATTTAATCAGCTAAGGCTTCCTTCTCTTGCGCACCCACCTCTCTCTAATTCTATATCTTCCTCCTCCCTTCTCAAACACCCCCTCCCAAAACACAAATACACGCACACGCGCACGTACACGCGCACACACACACATACACACACGCACACAAACGCACACCCACACGCAAACACATACACACACACACACACACACACATTGCAAATACCATCATAAAAAACATCAGGTACCAAAGAAAAATTTGTTTAAAATAGCTTTATTACAGTTTCACTAAATGTTGGAATCTATAACATTAACAGTTAAGAAAATCGGAGAAAGAGAGAGAATTTGATTGGTCAAGACTGTTTCGTACGTCATTCCATTCTGATCCGGGATTGGTCAACTTGTGATATCAGAGAGTTTACATGTTATCTCCATTTCCGGCACCTGCAAAAGATAATAAAGGAAGAATATGATGGACATAGATGCCTTCCGAGTCAGTGATACATCTTATGCTCACATTGCCACCCATGTCTAGTAAACGGATACCCGTTGGGAACACATAAGAGCGCTGCTTAAAGGGAAGATGGGCTAGTGTCAGATAATAGTAATATGTTGTATTGATATTAATTATTGGTGAAAAAGATAATTTGACCATCTGGTCTCTCCTTCCGATCTAAGTAATTACCATGGGTAGGTGCACCACAGCATCGGAGTTTCTTCCTACTCTTATTCAAATAGTGCAGTAGGTTCGTAACGCTCATAGGAAATGACTTTCCTTTACACGGGACCTCAATTTAACATTATATCCGAGCGACAGAGGGCACCACTGTCATCCCTTGATATGAATAAGTGCACGATGTAACTGTGGCAACCATTATCACTATTGCTATAATTATCATTAGTAGTAGTACTTAATAACAAGTATGCGCCTAAGCCCTGTGTGAAAATGTCAGTCTTATTACGCTTTATGTCATTACCAAAAACGAAATACCGCTGCAGTTTATGTGAAAAAGGGTTTATCATGCTTCAAACTTACCGCTACAGAAGACGACTGAACCACTACGCCTGTTGCACCAGCATTCCATGCCGTATTGCATGCAGGCTGAAAGGGAACAGAGAGGAAATGATACATTTGTTAAAGGTTGCCAATACAAGAGAACTTGTAGTATTCATTCATGCAATACAGTCATGATAATGATTTGAGAGGAGATATTATAAGCTTTCATTTTTATGTTCTGACGCCTCTTAATTGAATTCAGGGTATCACGTCAATCGAAAAGATCCTTTAAACCATATAATTAACATTGAACTGTTTACTTAACAGAAAGAGATTCTCAAAGGGAGAAATTATTTCATTACTGTTATTATTTAAATTCCATTGGGGCTTATATGTTCCTGCTTTCCTCATGTTATTCATTAAAAATGCATACGCTAGGATTTGATTCGGTGGTTGCACAAAGGGTTCTTTTTGAAGTATTTTTTTAAATAGTAGATTCAAGAGGGTGGGAGGGCACAAAATCAAAGTTTAAAGGTTTGATGAACTCACTCTTGTACTTCTTCATTTTCCTTCCCAGACCCCTCTTCTCGGTCTCAAAGAATTCAAGGGTGTCGTCGGTGAGCTCGTAATCAGCGAGGACGGCGACGAAGAGAGCACAAGCGAGGACGATGAACAGAGCCTTGGCCATTTTGATTATTGGTTTTCAGACAATCTATCGTGTAAAAAAGAGATGAGATTATGAAATTACATCATTATATAGTATTCGGTTTCGATAGTTTCGTACAGAACATACCTATAAAAGAAATTCAACTGAGGTTCTTGGTAGAATTTCCTATGGAAAATTGTTCCTGATTTAAAAAAAAACTAATTGATCTATTTTATTCTTCCTATATTCCCAAATCTTAAGACAAAATTCTAGTAGCTAAATATGTTTAGGAAAGATGCTTTGCTAAGAAAAGAGAAAAAAGACCTCTACATCATTCATAGATACCGTAGAGTTGTCGTAGTCCAGTGATCGAATCACTTGACCGAGATTGCAAAGTTTGCAGGTTCGAGACTCATGCAAGCGATTTCATCTACATTGCTCTTTTCCAATGATCCATGTGTTAAATGGGTACCTGGTATGAATCGAACGGCAATTCGATTGGATAAACATGTGCGCGATCGTCAAAGAGACGACTGACTGGAATGCTTACAAGGGAGTGAAGATTGTTCACTGTAAAGGCATGATCGTTACAGAATCCAGTGACTGGGGTAATAATACATTATAAGCGCATCGGTTGGTGACGCTGTAACTGGTTAAGCGCTTGTTAAGAAACAGTCATTATTACTGTAACTGCTATCAACAATATTATCATTAGATACCTGTTAACGCGTCATTTAGAAGGTAGTTGCTACCATGTGAAAACATAATGTATGTATACTTATATTTACTACGCTGAAATTCGAAAAGCGCGGTACTTTTCAAGAAACGTAATTCTGAAGAAAAAAAATCAGGAAAGCCTGCTTTAAAGAGCTAATGAAAAGTCAGATGGAAATACCATGTCAAATAGTTTTACATTTTAGGCACCAAAGCAGTATATCCAAATAACATGCTTAGAAGATCGTTTATGAATGCAAAAGGAAAGAAAATGGACTTACCTTGAGAAGAGTTGGTATATTTTGAATATCTCTGTGAACCGCAGCTGAATGACGATCTTCACAAGACGTTCTGTATTTATAGCAATCAAGCCACTAAGAGCGCGGTAATGAAATTGTGATAATTAACATACGTTGTGTATAAAACCAACCAAATGTCACATCCTATTAATTCAGCTAAACTAATTAGTTCTGCAGTCTGTGTTTTTTCTGTGGGGGAGGTTTACAAACACAAAGTAAAGTCTGTCCATCTTTTTTTCGCCTAGCATCTCATGCAGAAAGACATCATGCATTGTCTTGATTATTCATAAAAACAGAAGATGGTTAAAATGTAATTAATTGGAGGAAAGTATGTAGCTCAAGCATATAGCAATTAGTTGATTTCCATAGAGTTTAGATCAAAAGTCAAAGTTTGGATACTCTGTTCTGGACACCAGCTGCGTGGCAGTATGCCTTCCTGGACATAAATGATTATACACAACATTTTGATTAAAGGTGTTGAGATTCAAACTGATAATAAAACTGAAGGAGACCATGATTAAACAAATACCACTATTGATGACTTCAGAAACAAATGACATAACCAATAAAATGATCGGTGCTTGTGCCAGAAGTGAACACAAGAAAAGAGATTCTTACTGATGAAGAAGACATTTGAAACAATACAACTTGAATGGAGGTGTCTTGGTATAGTTCATTCACCTTTTTATCAATCCAAGTGTTGAGGGTTTGAATCTCAGCCCCGCACTAATATCTTTTAGTACGACAATACTCCACATAGATGGATTGTTATGATTTATATCAAAATTTGCCAATCTCCACTCAGCCTGGGAATCGCTGTGGTAACAATAATGGAAGGGCTTGCAGTAACAACATTATTATTACTACTCTGGGTACTATAAATAATATTTATCATTATCAATTAATGGTCACGATCTCCTAAAGATCTTTTATCTTTTCAAAAACAAATTTTACACGAAGCTGTTACTCTCTGTGTTTGGTTGTCCATGTGTATACATAATTATGCAATCACTATGTATTGTATTTTATGAGAATGTATGAAATACATGAATCTTTAATATAAGCATGTGCTTACCCGTTCTGAATAAGATCAAATAGTTGTTATTATTATTATTATAATTTTTGTTATTATCATTATTATTATTATTATAGGATTTCCCGGCAAAATTCGCGAGTTGGTCATTATAATCTGTCTTGCATTCAAATTCGACGGTCAAGTACTGTCAGGTATTTCTCGAGTTTATATTCCTTTTTCTAGTTTTCAAATATATGAAGTTTTCGTATCTATGTATGTTTCATTTAAATGAACTAACAATGTGCTGCTTTCGCTAATTGGGTATTCGATTTGGCGCAACATGATTTTCTGACATTGCAACGGTGTACTCTTAGCATTCTCATTCATTTGCAGCATTCAAATTAGCACTTTGTGAACTTAAATTGATGGTCAATATACATTTTCTCGTTTATTACACACTTTTTATAACTCATTCCTTTTCTATTAAGATTGTTTTTTCATGTGTATTTCATCATATTTCATTTTTTTGCATTTATACACTTACACTTTTAATAGATTTATTTGATACCTATCAGCATTTAAGTTTGATTGTTAATTTTAAAAAAGCTCGCATGTACGGCCTAATTGATGGCCTCAATAGGTTTGTTAGTTTTCGTGTAAGGAAGTTGTTTGGGCTTGTGTTTCATCATCATTTTTTTAATAACTTTATCATAATTTTATTATGGAGGAAGGGTACAATATTGTGCCTGGGGTAGGGACCAGTGTCACACAATTCAAGCATGATTCATTATTTAGCCAAGTCTTTATACCTTGATCTGCTGGCGGGCAAGGCATCAGAGGATGTAGGTCTGCATCCTGCTATACCATCACATGTATTCTTCCTTCGTGAGGGCGTCAACGTTTATCCTGGCTATACGGAAAACGATGTCTACTCGCCACCTCTCAATCGTCTGTCCTGCCTATTCAGCAGCTTCTCGATCGCCTATTGCATGTTGCATATCAGGACGTGCCAAATGCCTCTTAACTCTTGATTTAAATGCAGAATGGGCGTTCTCGGTGAAGTTGAGGAACGAAGAGAAGGGAGGCAGGTGCTTAACCTGGATGAGTGGGTCAACGCCAGGCGGAAGTTGAGCCCTCAGCATTGGTCTGGCGATGTCGTAGATCAAAACGACTGGTTCCCCTTGAGGAAATATAGTAGAACACTGGCGTGCCGTTTCTGCCAGGAAGTCCTCGAAGCTGACTCTCTAGTAGTCATCTTGCATGACACATTGTGGTGCACCAGGCCTACCTCTCTTGACACAACAAACGTTACGTTGCACCTCTTACCACGTAGCCCATGCACAATTCTTTGAACCGGTGACCGTGCTGTACTGCCCTGCCCAAGGATCGACTAGTCCACATGTTATATCCGGTTGCCTTCTGCCACAAACCACTGAGCATACTCCAACCGACGATCAAGAATTGCTTGTGAATCCCCCCTATGACACCTCTTCAGCCAATTTGGGGGTAATAGAAATGGTCGAAATGGAAACTGCTGGCTTTTGGGGGCAATGCCGCCTCAATGTCTCTCTTCATTTGCTCTAACGTGGCCAGAGGATTGATGTGAAGAATGTTGTCAAGATGAGCTCTCATCTCATTTTTTTTATTTTTTATTTTTTTTTTGGGGGGGGGAGGGGGGATGGGGCCGGGAGCACATGCCCCCCCCCCCCTAGATCCGCCACTGGGCATATATATGGATTATTGCGCCCAGAATAATCAATGGAACTGCCACCCCCTTACTGCCAAAGTTTATCTACGTAACTGTGCAAGCGAGGGAGCAAGCGATTGGCTTAGGGAAATTCGCACGGGAGCTCAGTGGCCGAGTATAATTATTTGAATCACAGGCTAATCAGCAGAAAGGGCTTAGCCCCTTGGTCCTTTAAAACAATATATTAGCCATATCTTTAATAGGTTGACCAGTTTCGTAACAAATTGGAGAAAAAGTTGCTATTAGTCGCTTTTAGTTAGGGGCATATAATATATGCCCCTAACTAAAAGCGACTAATAATGATATTATAATGGAGAATGGAGGAGGAGGCACTTATCACGAGGGAGACAGGCGCTTATTAGGATGTAAAAGGAACACATGCCAAGGTAAAAAGAGTAATTATCAAAGGTTAAAAGGGATACTTTTCTTACCTGGAAAGGGAAACTTATGAGGAAAAGGGGCACCTATCATATTTTAGAGGCATTTGACAGAGCTAAAAGGGACATTTATGAGAAGGGAAAAGCACTCCAATTAAAAAAGGAAAAGGGGAGCCTTTCAGATTTTAATAAGGGCACTCACTAGAAATGAAAAGCAGCACTTATATAAAGGAGTAAGGGCAATTTACTACAAAGGAAAAGGGACAGTAGTAAAAATTAAAGGGACCCGTCTCAGATTTGAAAAGGGGCAATTATGAGCTATGGTAAAGTGTGCACATCAGAGGTGGTAAGGAGCACTTCTTGTACCTGAATAGGGGAACTCATTCTAGATGAATAGGGGCACTTATAGTAATGGAAAATGGGTATTTATTACGATCGAAATTGGGCACTTGTCGAAGGAAAAGGGGCACCTCTCAGATTTTAATAGGGGCAATTATCGGATATGTAAAAGGGGCAACTCTCAGATTTGAATAGGGGCAATTATCATAGGTAAAGGGGGCACCTATCAGAGATGGTAAGGGGAACTTATGAAAATATGAAACGAGCATCTATATTATAAATAATAGGGGCACTTTACCTACGTAAAAAGGAGCACTTTTGGGGTAATTTAAGAAGTGTGTTGGGTGACAGTTAAAAATATTACTCTGCAGTGATCTCGAAACTATGCTATGACCATCGACTTCGTCTTCGGACAAAGTACGGTTTTGAGATCACCTTTGGCATTAATTTTAACCGTGACTCTCAAAAGTATATTTGTAAAGCGCTTAGAGAGATTTGTAATAAGCGCTATATAAAAAAAAAAAAATTATTATTATTGTTATTTTTATTATTAAATAAATCAATATTTGTATATTATGAGATTTAATTTGTTACCCGGCAAATATGTATACAAAAGGTTTTGAGATCACCTTTGGCATTAATTTTAACCGTGACTCTCAAAAGTATATTTGCAAAGCGCTTAGAGACATTTGTAATAAGCGCTATATAAAATTTAAATATTATTATTATTATTATTATTATTATTATTATCATTATTATTAAAGAAGTCAATATTTGTATATTATGAGATTGTATTTGTTACCCGGCAAATATGTATAAAAAAGACCAGCTGCGGATTTTGTTTCTGGCCTAGTTTAAAGTATATGAATGGATCAATCAATCAATCAATCAATCAATCAATCAATCAAATTTTCTCACTATTCCATGTCTTTTATTTTTTACTACAGTATTCACTCTTTGCTTACTCTTTCACTCACATGTCTCCAATATTCCTCATGAACTCAAGGATCATCCATTATTGGCTTGATAGGTCATTCGATGCCACACACGCAAACACACACACACACACACACACACGCACACACGCGCACACACAGAACGCAAACACACACACACACACACACACACGCACACACACAAACACGAAGTTGCAAACCATCCAGAGACTCCTAATAAATTGCGTTACTTATTAATTAATTATTTCATTACAAATCTTTATTCTCAGTTTTCTTACGAAGACTATAACTGATTTTCTTATAAAATTGAAGATATTTATGGCGTATATATTCAATACTGAATGAACGCATAAAACATTTACCAACAACAACAACAACAACACACACACAAACATTAAAAAATAACCGTCATGAAAGACATCAGATACCAAAGAAACATTTGTTTAAAATATCTTTATTACAGTATCACTGAATATTGGAATCCATAAGATTGAAAGTAGGAAAATTATAGAAAAAGAGCGAATTTGATTGGTCAAGACTGTTCCGTACGTCATTTCATTCTGAAGTCGGGATTGGTCAACTGGTGCTAGCAAAGATTT